AAAAAAAAAAAAAAAGTGTACACACACACACACACAGAGTAATAGGAAAGAATACACTGTATTGTGTTGTAGTAAATTAAGAACAAGGCTCCAGAGTCAAAAACTTGAGTTTAAATCACTGTTTAGTCACATGTAAAAGCTGTGACTCTGGGCAAGTATCTCAACTTCATGCTCTAGTGCCTCAGGGTCATCACTTGCAAAATGGAGGTACAGTATTTACCTCAAAGAACTTGAAATACAAAACTTTAACAATGTGTACAAATGTTAATGGTAGCAATAATAGTAGTGTAACCTATTTGTGTTTAATCAACCCGGTATTTAAGAAAGGAGGGAAGGGCTAGGCTCTTTAAAATGTCTCATTTAATCCTTTCAACTACAGAAAGAAAAAAGTATAATTCTCCCTATCACACCAACAAGGAAAAGGGAGGTTCATTTGCCTAGATTACTCAGTTAATAAGTGGCAGAGCTGAGATGTGAACAGTGGTCTATGTGGACACAAAAATGTTTTCTTTCCACTACACAATGCTACCTCCACAGCACTACATAGTAGCAGGAGCACAAAACTAGGCGTTTTGTTCTTTACTACTAAACTCAACAAAATCTGGGCACATCATTAAGTCCATCTGTCTCTCAATTTTATTTTCTGAAAAATTAAGGGGTTTGATTAGATTTTGAGGTTTCCCTTAAACTAAAAATAATCCATGATTTTATTAAATCACCATATTCAGTGATGTGTAAACTCAGAAAAAGTTTGAAAATACAGCAGAAAACCTCTTCTGTTTAAAAAAACAAAAAAACATCGAAAGAAGATAGCTTAATTCTTTTCCAGGACTGCACATTATGAAAAAGAAATCAATGTTAAAGGGAAGACCAACATCTAATTTTATTATTAGCATGCATGACTAAGCAAATGTTTGGGAGAACAAAAACATCAAGTATTTCAAGATGACAATTTTAACACCTATATTATCAATAAATTATGAAAAAGAACTCAGAAACTTGATATACCTACAGACCTTATAATCAAATAAAATACAGATTTACCAACTTTTATTTCATGTTGAAACTGCAACCAGGTTGACTTTTTTTTTTTTCTTAATGTCCATCTGAAAACTTTCCTCCCCTAAAACCCTTCACTGGCTTCCCACTACCCTTCAATGACATCCCAAATCCTTAAAATGACTCAACAGTCTCGTGCGATATGGCTCCTCTCTCTGGAGCTATCCACTGGCTCCTCTTTCAGTTTCTTTCAATTCCTCCAAGACACCTCTTTTTCCCTTTATTTTAGGGCCTTCATACTATCTGCCCTCTAAAACCTTGCTGTCACAGCTCTCCATTCCCATCCTTTTGCCCCAGCAAACTGCTCTTCATCCATCCTGGTTGAGATGAAATATTATCATGCCAGGAAAGCCTTTCTTGACCTCCCAGACATATATTTTGACAGCATTCTGGATTTATAACACTCACTAGTCTTATGGTTACTTGTTCACCATCTGTCTTCCGTGCTAAGCGGTAAACAATATGGTCATTTCATGTCGTGTTTCCTACTATTTCCCCAATATCTAACACAGTGCTTAGCACAGAGTAGATTAAGTGCTCAATAAATATGTGCTTAATTAAAACATTTAAACTACGAGGCAAGTCCAAAACCATCAGATACTTTACTAGCACAAATAGCTAAAAAAGTTCTATACAGATTTCGAGTTCTGTCTTATCCTTGGTCCTTCATATGGTCCTGCCTCAAATAGGTGCTATATGGCAATTACGAAGTAAAGCAAAAAAATCTCTTTAGATAACAAATACGTCTTCAAGTTTCACAAAACCAAGGTTAGAAACCATAGGTCTTAAATAACTGTAATCAGCGTTAAAAGTCATCTAAAAGAATGCACCTGAAGGGCTTCCCTGGTGGCGCAGTGGTTGAGAGTCTGCCTGCTAATGCAGGGGACATGGGTTCGAGTCCTGGTCTGGGAGGATCCCACATGCCCTGGAGCAACTAGGCCCGTGAGCCACAACTACTGAGCCTGCGCGTCCGGAGCCTGTGCTCCCCAACAAAAGAGGCTGCGATAGTGAGAGGCCCAAGCACTGCGATGAAGAGCGGCCCCCGCTTGCCGCAACTAGAGAAAGCCCTTGCACAGAAACGAAGACCCAACACAGCAAAATAAATAAATTAACGTCAGATGCAGGCTTGTTAAAAAAAAAAAAAAAAAAAGAATTCACCTGAAATGCAATTAAAGGGACAGGAACTTGGATAAGGGCTCATTTTTACCAAGTAGTGTACATGATAAAAGGACCAATCCCAGCTCCTATCACTGTCTAGGTTCTACAAGTAGTGCTTTATTCCAGCAGTAATGATTGCACTGCTACAGTCATCTGAGTAGGCTATATGATACCCGAAGATGCTTTATTCAAACTCAAGAAAAATTACAAGCAAAGTAGCTATAATCTTCAATTAGTGAAAAAAAGAAAAAGGAAATGGTAATAAAGCTGATAAGTAATTTGATAATTGAATGCTTAAAAAAGGGAATGCTATTTTATTTTATTATTTTTTTTGCGGTATGCGGGCCTCTCACTGTTGTGGCCTCTCCCGTTGTGGAGCACAGGCTCCGGACGTGCAGGCTCAGCGGCCATGGCTCACAGGCCCAGCCACTCCGCGGCACATGGGATCTTCCCGGACCGGGGCACGAACCTGTGTCCCCTGCATCGTCAGGCGGACTGTCAACCACTGCGCCACCAGGGAAGCCCCGGGAATGCTATTTTAACTCAAAACATTCTTCTAAGTTTTCTGTTCACCGAACACTTATTGAGTGCTAATTACAAACCAGGCAGTGTTCAAAGATTTTCTTAATACATACTCATTATTTTCCCCATTTTAGACATGAGGTAGGAGGCACTGAGCTAAGTAACTTACCTAGTATCATACAGCTGGTAAGTGGCAGAGGCAGAATTCAAAGGCAGCCATTCTGGCTCCAGGGTTCTCCCTCTCAACCACTATTACTACACTCCTGCCTACTCACTCTCTCCAATCCACTTAAACAAGGCTCCTATCCATACCACCCTACTCCAGTGAAACTTTTCACTTAGTTCACCAATGACTTCTACCTTGCCAAACCTAAAGGCCACTAATCTGCCTCCACCTTTTTCATCCATTATGCAGTATCCCATCAAGTTGACAACCCTCCTCTTTTGTCATACATTTGTTTCATTAGTGACATGTATCCCAATTTTCTTCCTACCTCAGACCTTGACTCTCTTCGCTTCCCTATCTACACATTCTTCCTCAGAAACTTCCCAGTCTCATGGCTTTAAACACTATCTGCATGACTCCAAATATTTCTAGTCCTGGCCTGAGTTCTAGACTCATAACCAACTACTTATTTGACATCTCACTTAGATATATAATACCTTACACTTAATGATCAAAACCAACCAACCTACTCTTCTCCCCTCAACCTGTTCTCTCCAACACGGATTCAGTTGCTTAGGCTAACTTCTTAGTTATCACCCTTGACTTCCCTTTCCCATATCTCTCACACCCAATCGATCAGCAAGTTCTACCACATCTAATCATTAAACATATTTAGTTCTGTCTCCACTGTCACTCTAATGCAAACTACAGCTCTGCCTACAACATCCTTCAGAATGGTCTCCTTACTTCTCTTCTTGACCCCTTAACCTCCACAAAGCAGGTAGAGTTAAAACAAAATCAAATCAATCCCTGCCTGCTTTAAATCATCTAACGTCTTCCCATTACAGTTCAAATTAAATCCTAGCTCTTGACCACAGCCTAGAAGATCCTACATGATTTGGCCCCTGCCTACTTCTCAAACTTCACAACCTTCCATCCTCTCCCCCATCACAAGGTTCCCTGCAGCCACAACTGCCTGCTTTCTCTTCCCGGATCACACTGTGATCATTTCCACTACAGAGCCTTTGCACTCGCTGTTCCTTCTGTAAGGAGCATTCTCTCTCCAGACTTTTAGTTCCTTCTGTTCCTTAGGTGTTGCTCAAATGTCACCTCCTGAGAGGCCTTCTAATCACTCTTTTACATGATCCTCTACTGTTACAATAGTCATTACTCTTTTATTACCTGAAATTACCTTATTAACTTGTTTATTATGTCTTACTGATTTTGGAATTTAAAAACTCTAGTCCCGACCCTCCCACAGTACATGGAAGGAGCCTAATAAATTTATTAAATGAATGGATATTCCCCGTTGTATTTTAAGCTGTTTATTGTAAATCAACCAATTTTGATTAAACACTTGGCCCATATTTTGCATGTATTAAAAGTTAAATACTTAAAACACTCAATTTTTCCAATCTAATACATTTCAGCACTCTGAACCCCCTCAAACACACACACGCACAGAGTCCACCTATAGAAACCTACTTAAAACTGCTAAATAGTCCATATGGATAGATTGCATTTTCTTCCTCCAAGCTAACAAACGTGTAGGTGGGAAAGGGGAATTTTACTGGGCACCTTAGCACCTGTTACATCTTAAGTTAACAGAGGTGCTGATGAGCCAGACACCACATGGGAGACATGGCCTTTCTTTCAGGAATTGTATGTAGGTAAAACGTGAGTGACTGAGACGAGAACTGTTCTAATCCGTAATAAGGGCTATTCACCTCATTTAAAGAAACAAAAATAGTCTAGTGGACAGCGGATTACGCTCGGATTCACCAGAAGAAACTGATCTGGGGGCCCTCGGCAAATACGAGTTGTGTGTGTAAGTTGTTGGAGTCGGTCTACAAATAACGGGAAAACAAGAGGAAGAGGCATTGGTTTAAGAACCAACTCAGCGATAAGGTAAAGGTCAGCTCAGGCTCCCAGGCGTATTCTGAACCTGGGAACGAGGGTGGTAGAGGAGGAGAAAACACAGAGCCCTGGGACCTGCGTTCACCGCTTCGGCCTCCACGGAAGGCACTTGAGGCAACCGTGAGGCCACCTATCTCCCACTTCCACCCCTGCAAGGAAATAGCCCCCGGATACTCACATGGGCTCGAGAGTCTTGCTGAGCCAGGACTTGAGGGCCTCGAAGTTTTCAATGATCATTTTAGAAACCATCCACAGCGGCCCAGAGGCCCGTCACACTAGTCCGCCCGCCCAGGTCGCGGCCGCTACAGCCGCCGCTGCCCCCGCCCCCTCCTCCGCGCGCCGCCCGCGTGGGCCGCGGTGGGAGGCGCCGGTGGCAGGCTCCCGCGAGCCCCGATGGGCCAACAGCTCCGGGGGAACGGCCGCAGGCCGCGAGTCCACGGGGTGCCAGGAACTCCCCCTCCCCGGACCCCGGCCCCGGCTGAGGCAGCGACGGTTTGCCCGGGCCCTCCCCCTACTCTCCACCCCAGAGAATCTTCCTGGACCAGAGCGCGACACGCTCCTAGACCCGGGCTTTCTCTCAGCTTTGAGACCAGGTGCTGGCTGGCAACGCAGAAGAGGCAAAAGTGAAGAAAGCGAAGACGAAGGGCAGCTGAATGGGAACGGTTCGGGGGGTCTTCCCGGCTCCCAGCACCCCCAAGAAGATGGCTGCCGATAAATCTCGCGAGAATTGTTGAAGTGTCGCGGTGACTCCCGGAGCCTGCTGGGAAGAGACGTAAGATCAGCGGAGAGCGCGCTAGGCAAGTGCGGCGAGTTTTGCGTCTTTGCGTGGTTTATGGGCCCTGTGCTTTTTCACGCCTTGATTCTCTTAAGGAATAAAGACTTTATTTTTTTTGCAAGGAGGGAAAGGACGCTGATTTCAGAATCAGCGGGAACCCCAGCCCGTCCTCTGTAACTGACAGCGTGGCGCATCGGCTGGAACGACCAACGGGAGCGCTCCTCTGAGAGCGTCCACTCGGATGTGGCGGGATGCAGGCGACCTGGGGATTACAGGTGTGCTGCGCTGTGCTGCCTCCTCCGTTTACCTCAGGGTCCTGCAGTACTATATTCTGCATGTGCTGTGCTGTGGACAAGATTGGGAAGAACGGGCTGGTCTAATATAACGCGCTGAGACCGCCAGAGGCTTAGTTAGGTCTTGTCCAGAATTACTCGACTTCATGCATGGGCAGAGCACTAATGACCTAGGGATTCCTCCAACCCTTGACAGTTCTGAAATAGTTTCCAAACATCTGAAACTTTCGGACTTTTCCCCAGCTAGAAATAAGATAAGTGTTTGTGGCTTTTTTTTTGGGGGGGGGGGTTGTTTTTTTTAGTGTTAGTGTTTTTAATTCTCTCCGTTTAGAGCCGATTCAGCCCCAGATAGGGAAATTACATAATATCAAAAGAGAGCCTTCATATCAGCATCCTAAATAAAGTAACTTCCTTTCTCCTGGGTGGTCAAATAAGTTTGATTCCTGCCTCAGTTGTTCTATTTGCTATTATTTACTTCCATTAAGGTACTAGGTGGAATTTTACAAAAAGTCTAGTGCCTGTTAACTGTAATGAAATGAAAATAATTCACAGTATAGACATTTAAAGTAGAACACTAAAAAGCTTTTTATGGCAGACACAGTGGTAGACTAAATTGTTAAGAACTCTGAGTTTATAATTTGCTAGAGTGAAGTGTCCTTAAGCACTAAGTGGAAAAGATTTGATAAAGTCAGAAAAGCTTGACATTTGTTTTAAAATATAGCATATAAAGTAGTATGCAAATTAGAAGCCTGCTACTGATTAACCAGGGTGTTGATTAACAACTGATTTAGCTAAGTGAAATAAGCTGGATGCAAAAGGGCAACTATTCTGTGTTTCCACTTATGTGAGGTACCTAGAGTGGCCAAACCCCTAGAGACAGAAGAGTAGAATTTTTATCAACTTGTTATCACTTAGTTGCCAGGGGCAAGAGGGGTAGGGGAGAATGGGGAGCTATTTTTTAATGAGTAAAGAATTTCAGTTTGGGATGATGAGAAAGTTCTAGAGATAGGCGGTGTTGATGGTTGCACAATCATGTGAGTGTTGTGAACTGTACACTTAAAAATGGTTAAAATGGGGGCTTCCCTGGTGGCTCAGTGGTTGAGAGTCCGCCTGCCGATGCGGGGGACACGGGTTCGTGCCCCAGTCCGGGAAGATCCCACGTGCCACGTAGTGGCTGGGCCCGTGAGCCATGGCCGCTGGGCCTGTGCGTCCGCAGCCTGTGCTCTGCAACGGGAGAGGCCGCAACAGTGAGAGGCCTGTGTACCGCAAAAAAAAAAAAAAAAAAAGAGCAGACAAGCCCAAAGCTAACAGAAGGAAGGAAATAATAAATATTAGAGCAGAGATAAACAAAAGAGAGAATAGAAAACAATAGAGAGGACCAATGAAACCAAAAGTTGGTTCTTCTAAAAGGTCAACAACAATAAAAAAATGATTTATAAATTTAATATTGCTAGGGAAAATGTAAAATCCTAATTGTTTAGCCTGCCTGTTTAATAGCCTTGCCACAGACTGACTCCACCAGTTTTCAACCTCATCACCAACTGTTGGGTAACTCTGGCTCTGCACTCCAGCTAATCATCATTCTTCTGTTAAATGCTGTATAATCCACGGAAACAGATTTGCTCACCTTTCCCTCCTCCAGACATTTATTCACATCATTTCCACAGGGAATGCTTCCACTTACTTCTTTCTCTGGCTATTCAAACCTTGCCCATCCTTCTCTCTCAGTACCACTGCTACTATATTTTTGAATCCTTCCTAATTTTTTCTAAACAATAGTAACAGGCTTTTAATTTCTCTGCCTCTTAGCTGCCCCCTTATCCGTTCATCTTCAGTTGCCTTCATCATCATTGCCTTTAATAGCAGTTATTGTAAAATTTGGATCTAATCATGTTAGTTCCCTGCTTAAAATCTTCATTAACTTCCACGTTGTCTTCAGGATAAAAAATCTACATTCTTTAACATCTATAAAGGACCTTTTAAAATCAAACTCTTCCTATATGCCTTAGAAACTTCTTTCACTGCCTTTCAGCCTTGCTTCAGCCACCCTGAACTATTTCATGCTCCTTGAAAGAGGTGTGTTCTCTCACTAAACTGATCCATTGCAAAATGTGTTACCCTCCCTTGCACTTGAATCCTACCCATCCATTAAATTCAGTGCATACAGCATCACCTTTAGAAAACCATCCTTGACTTCCCTGCTCTGAAGCAGGAGTCCCTCTGAGGTTTTATCACATCAGCCTGTGCTTGCATCTATTATAACATTCATTGCTTTATTTTTGCAATTATCTGATTATCTGTTCATTAGTAGACTATGGTTTTGAATCTCCTGTTCATGCACAGCCCCTGATATATACAGTCAATTCTCAATTTTTTGAATGATCAAATGAAGCCCTGCCACTTCCGGGAAATCTTCCCTGAACAATGTAGCTGATAGCAATCTCTTCCTCCTCTAAATCCTTAGTTACAGTGCTTGTTATCACTCCACGACTAGTCATCAGTGCTTCCTAGCGTGATTCTGTTTCTTAACTATTATCATTTATCCCTCATCGCTTCACTGCTTCATCTTCTTTGGCTTTGTCTTCAGAGGTGATAATTAGCTAATGTGGTAAGCAGTGCAACTAAGAAAAGACTAAAACAACCCCCATAGACTACTTTATGTATTCAGTAACAAACATTTCAGAATGTCCATTATTAGGTTACCTCCTTAACATTTTCCAACATACCATGTTCCTTCAAAGCCCTGTGACTTTGTTAGCGCTGTTCCTTTTGCCTGGAATGACTTTCCTTGTAGCTCAAATACCAGATGCCGTAGGCAAAGGTTGTTGCCTCTTGGTTCTTACCTGTAGAATAGGAGTTAAAACGTCTTATTTAGTTTTTCATCTGTCTGTCTAACTAGATTATGAGCTCTTTAAGGACTAGGACTCAAGTTGATTCCTCTTTGTTCTTTCTGCACGTAGCACAGTGTGTGGAACTCAGAAATGTTTGTTGAAGGATATAAGAAGGAAGTAGAGGCAGGGGATATATTTTCGATAGGCAAGTCATAATGATATAGCTCCCAGTAGGCCTACATCTCCTTATAGTTTACTTAGCTGCCCTGATCCTAGGAATATTCTCTAGAGTATACTTAACTGCTCCTTAGGTTCTTCCAGTTCTCTCATCTAGCTGGTGGAGACAGTCTTATTACTCAGTGGTGCTTTGGGGGTCTTGATTAAACACTTAGCCTGTATTTCAACATCACAAACATATTCTATATTTTTTCTTCTATTGTATAGTCAGTACTCTGTCCCAAGAATCACATTTAGGTCTTTATTCTCTCTGGAATACATGCCTTTATTTGGTGTAAGGTGGGGATCTAGCCTATTTTTTCTCCAAACAGCAGGCCAATTCTTCTCTATAATTCTGCTGAACAGTCTCTCCCTTCCCCATTGATTTTCAATGCCACCTTTATCATATATTCATATTTCCATTTATGTATGGCTCTGGTTCTGACCTCTTTTTCAGTTGGTCTTTTTGTCCATGATGACGCCAGTACCATGTTGTTTTTATTTACCATTGTCTTATAGACTGTCTTAATATGTAATAGTGAAAAATCCCTCCCCTTTGCTCTTGTCTTTCAAATTTGACTTAGGTAACTGTGAACCCTTGGTCTACTAAATACTTCCTAAAACAAGATTGTTGAGCTTAGCCAAAAAAAAAAAAGGATCCTTTATTGAATTTATAGATTAATTTGGGTTGAATTGGCATCCTGTGTAGCAGTCACAGAGGTACTTTGCTCAGATCTACCTTCGAGAAAGGACTCACTGCCGAAGGCATGTAGTTAGCTGACAGCCTTCAGTCATTAACTTCTTCTGGGCTCACCTCAGCTTCCAAGCTGAAGTTACACTATTTTCAGGGCTACCCCTCTCTCCCATGCCCATCCTCAACTAAAGACTGAGTAAGGCTTAGTATAAGGACCTAATGTCAACATTAGGATGACAGAGGCTTTTTCAGGCCTGCATGGCAGTCTGATGGCTCCCCCTGCCTAATCCTACTTTCTCCTTTTCTCTTTCACAAATGCTATCCTCCAGTAAACCTTTTGTACTTCTAACTCGACCTCAACATCTGCTTCCCAGAGAACCTAACCTATGACACAAGTCATCTGATTAATTCTATTTTTATAAATATTTTTTAAATTATAGTTAATAAAATCTAACCATCCCTTCTGGCCCAATTACTTCTTTGAAACCATCCCTAGCCACCTTCATTTAATATGATGTCTCTCAGGACATACGTTCTAACAAACCTTTGACTTTCTATGGCCATCATTGATTTAGCCCCTATCGTTTTATTTTTTAATGCACATATACTTTATCCCCTGTGGCCTCTTTAGTACTTTGTTTCACCAGTTACTTCCTTATCTCATGTTTGCAACTCTTGTACTCTGTTGGGTCTTTCCAATTCATCACTCAACGAATGTTTACTAAAGGTCGGCTCTGTTTCAGATATATTACGACTTGCTGAGAATACAGTGATGGACAAACAAGGCATGGTATCTGCCCTGTGGAGCTTATAGCCTAATTTAGAAAGGGAGACATTTAACGGAAAATCATATAGGAAATTTTTTTTAATTTTTGTAATTAAATTT